TTTTTTACAAAAATATGGTCTATTTTCTCTCTTCACTTACTCCTATCATCTATATGTGACACAGTGTTAGACAAGATTTATAAACAATTTCATTTCAACAGATAACATCTATTTCAATCACACAGATTACAAAGACACTGAAATATTGGGCATTGTGATATGACATATACAGGCACTACAGTTCAAAATCAAGGCAAAGCAACCATTTGCTTCTAGAACCTGCAATGACTTTCCATATGTACTGAACTGAGGCTGAAACCAGGCTGTGCAAAAATGTTTTATTCTATTAACCCTTTTGAGACATCAGGGTGTACTTAAAATCCAATTGGTCTAAGCGGAGATTGTGGTCAGTAAGGGAACAAATCTACAATTTTTTTTTACTGGCATTTAACTAATGAGGTCGGTGTTAGTGTCTCAGGTTCCATTCACAATTATAGGGGACTAGCTAGTCCAAGGGTCAAATATGGTGATCTACTACAAAGCTTGCCATCTAATCTGAAAAAAAAAATAAATAAATAAAACCATGGGAAACATTTCCTTAAGTACACAAATTATAGACAATTACTGTTATAGCCCGCTCACACTACAATCTGAAATATCCGAATTTTTGCAATGCAAATTACGGGCAAAAAATCCGATTCGGTTGTCTGGCCACACACAGCAAAGGGAAACCGAATCGCAAACTGAAAATCCAGGTGGAGGTTCCGGTTTGAAATATCGCGCATGCACAGAATCCATGAAAACAAAAATATGGCGCCAATCATTGCTCTACTCGCACTCTGTTTTTTTTCTCGCGTGTTTGTTTTTGGAACCTCAAATTTATGCCAAAGGTAGTCAAAGGAAGATTCAAGTAAGAAGAGGAAGAATTTGACGGAGAGAAGAAGGAGACTAGCCGGGTTTCGTAGGAGAGCTAGGGTACGTTCGATGCATACAGTACATGTACAAGTAATCACAGCAGACGACTGATTTTTTAAAATACTACAAGGTCGTAGTTATTAGGCTTTATGTTATGCATTGCTACATCGTAAGACCGCTGATTTTGCGGGTTCTTTTTGACACTATTTACATGTGACATCAAAGTCAAATTGCTGCAACTTCATCTGTTATTTCAAATTATTTAATACTAAATAGAATACCAGTACAACACCATAAAGTTGGGAGTTGTTAGTGTACAATATCGCATTTAATTTCTTTCTGTGGTGAGTATTACTATTATGATTATTATAAGCATATTTACATTCACATGTAGCAGGATGTATTTTGACAACCATGAGCTTTATTTCTCCAGAACAAAAGCATACAGTGGTGGTTCCCCATGACACATCTTGCAAACAACATTTTTCATAGAAAAAAGAAACTACAGATCATTTCTCATGAAAATTACATAAAAGAGTCATTGTTATGACATTACATAATGTACAGTTCTGTTTAAGTAAGATTTTATTGACAGGCTACAGATTACCACAGAACATAATTGTATTTGGCTTGTATGAATAAACCTGCCTGTCTACAAGTTAGAAACAACAAGTTGGAAAGAGTGCAAGTGGTCTTAAATTAGACCCCAACAACACTTGTGCCATGGAAGACACATATAATCACAAATAAATGCCGAAAAAAATTTTCCCATTTAACATTGCTTCTATAGGTTTTCACTGCTGGTGTTTGTAAGTCTTCCAATGCTAGAATTCTGCACTTGTTTCTGATGTTCAAAACAAAATATGTGGGCATGCAGGAATAACATAAAACAAGCAGTTATTTACATTGTTGTACAGCAATTTCTAAGAACTGCATCCCAATAAAGTTCAGTTGCACACTATAATTACTCGCATATTTTAAATATCAATTCTTCCAACATATAATTTCTTTTGTAAAATTATTTTCAGTAAGAGGCAAACATGCAATGATTACCTTCTGAGAAGTTTCCAATTTGTTTTTTTCATGTATCACAACCAAAATGTTGTTTTAAGAAATACCATCGATCAATGATGTCTGGATTTGTTGCATAATTACCCAACGTTAACAACTACAGCTAATCTCCAAACACAGTTGCATTTGGCTGGTGCTCAAGCCGCCATGTCTAATATAACCAATTTGAAACTCGTCTGCCGACCGTCTGGACACCTGCCCTGAACACGGGAGCCAATCAAACAATTACATACATGACCACATGGTGAATTCACAAGGTCCAAACATTCCAGGCTTGCCAGGGAACCTTGGCGCTTTCTTGTCATAAACTGGAACCCATCCCATACAAGACTATTTATCTTTTTTATTAAAATGGACTATATTTTTTGGTCTAAAAGGTATATGTGAATAGTTTGTCTTAAGTAAGTTTACTTCAATAAGAATGAAAATTAAAAGTTCTGATGCTGTAATTAAGAATTAATGGAAGTGAATTAGGTCGTGTTCAGAGTAATCTCAATCCAGTCTACACGTAAGACTATCTAATGTCATCAGACCATGGATCCCATTCCATCAAATCCTTGTCTGAACTGACTGATCATCTCTGAAATGGCCATATAAATGGATACTAATCTTTAGTGCTTGCATTTACCTACACATACTAACACATTCTCCATTCCATCTGTGCGCAAACATAAACATATGCTCTATCTCTAATATGCAGAAATAAAAAAAAAACGCATGACCAGTGCTGACACATATATATACTGCGCCTCATATGCTTTATCAATATGCATATTTGTAAACATACTTTGTAATGAGACAAGATAAATAGGATGTATACAATGATGTTAAGTATACAAAGAAAAACCAAGAAGGAACACACACACACATCAGGGCCGCCTTCTGGGGCTTCCAGGACATGGTCAAAATTTTAAAGTTTACATTGAGGAGCAAAATTTTTTTTCTGTCCGGAAATGATGAAAAATGGAGGATGGATTAAAAATGATAATTTGGAAGACTCAGAAATATCTCTGGTTCGGCTCCTACACATAAATATGTACACACACACACACAAATACACACACACACATGCATGCACGCGCATGTGCACGCACACATAAATACATCAGAAACATATGTTCATATAACGGCAGCAACTGCCACCAAGGCAATGAACGCATCACTACGCTACACCTGCTCTTGTAACCCTCTACGGGTGCTAGATCCTCCATCATCTGACAGACAGACGCTAAAAATAAACACATGAAAGAGATAGAATCTTCCCAGCTTAAAGGCTACTTAAACTTTAGCTGACAGGTGAGGAAAGTTCAGACCTATTGAAGAAGATGGAAGTATGAAGTTCAGTTTCATTTCTCACGCTACATTTTTATTTTGTCTAATTTTATTGTCTGGTTTGAGTAAATACTGACTTTCAAATTTTCAACCAGTTTGAAGATTTCCAAGTTGTTTTTACATGTTTTTAGTGTTTTAGTACAAGATGTTGTGTATCATGGATTAAGGAAATAGATGAATGTTACAGAAAATGCAGTGACATGGCATGAGAAATTATTACTAACTCACAAAATAAATTGAACAAATGAACCCTAGCACATGTTCACGTAGAAAAGAACCACCAGCAAACAAATGTGTGTTCAAACTCAGCTGAAAAATCCCAAATTTATACATGTTATAAACAGTAATTTATTTAGTGCACTGCCATCTAAGTCATTTGGGAAAGAATATCTAAGTGGTACATAAAGACAAGCCATTACAGTTTAAAACTCTAGAGAACAGGATTTCTTCTAACAACACAATAATTTCATAGAAATGCTCGTATGAACATATTTATTATCTTTAACATGCTCACCATGTGCTGCATGCTGATTATTAAACACAAAGGAAGATTTACTGATGCTCATTTGGGACACTTTGAAATATTGAGCATGATTAATTATAAGTCTGTTAAATAAAAAAAGGTGATTTTTCTTCAGATAATTTCATTATTCATTCATAACAGAGAGATACATTAAGGTAAGTTGATATACAATGATGGTCACACTAATGGCTTTGCAAAAGGTGTTTACAGAAACAATGCAATGATAATAAATTACAAGAAAAGGGCTCCAGATAAAACACTGACTATTGGAAAATTGGTGAAATTTTAATTATTAACAGAGGGCATCAGAAAGCTGAGTTAATTGTTAATCCAGCATTGATGCCTTCAATTTTCATTCTTAGCTGGAGGTCATTGCTAACACACACGCAGACAGTGACACACACACACACACACACACACACACACACACACACACATATACACTCTTATGCACACACATGCACACGCTATCATGGTATGTCCAACTTACTGATTTGAAACAATATCTAAATATAAAATACAAATAAATGACCAACGAACGCAGCCGAGAATTAATAACAGCTTTGGAAGTAACTGGCTCGCACTGCCAGTAATTACGCCATGGGGTATTCAGGACACAGACCGTGATCACAAGATACCGCCAATAGATTTTTAGAAAATAGATTTTTCATGTGCAAGAACCCTTAATTTGTCACAAAATTATTTGGTCTGAATTTAAACAGAAAATGGACTTCAAAACAATGATAGCCATTATCAACAGTTTATATGGCATATTCAATTAATTGGTCAGAAATTATTCAATCAAACTGGAAATAGATATAATAGCTCTATGCTTATTGCCTTATTACAGCCGCACTCAGACCAGGGTAATTCTAGACCGAAACTCTAAGGCTGAAATGTGTCATCAGACGCCGAATACAAGGGTCCTGTTTCAGAAAGCCATCTTTGTCCATCATTTCACTGTTATTGGTTTTAGCCAATTCAACTGAACTGCAGAGATGAATATTTAGAAATGAAATATGCAGACAGTTGTCTTTTGCTGATGAGGACCCCTTAACTTGAACAACAGATAACCAAATGATACTTTTTTGTTAGAAATTTTAGTTCTCCAGTGACAAAATCTAAGATAACTTAACATATGAAATATTTCTTTAAAAACCTTGGTCTGAATGCTGCTAGGAGACAATAACCAAAAGAACAATGAAGACTTTGAACTTACTGGAATGCCTGCCCAATATGGCGTCTCTCTCGTATGAAGAGAAGGTATTGCTACTCCCATGAAAGCGCCGAGCCCAATAATCGTAGAACCCAGGCACAATTGCATTGTTGTTAATAGAATATGAATCCTACAGCAGTGCATTTCGCATGATTCTCGCGTAACGTGCTGAAAATGTCTCTGAACTTGTTGGCCCATAGACATGCGGCGGCCATGATGGTTGCTGTGGTGATGGTGGTTACCATGGTGGTGATGGGACCTCTGGTTTCGTGGATGGTGCCTGCAAGTAGGATCATGGGTACTAATATTATTTTCTGTATCGGCATGGACTGTATGCCCATTCAACATGGGTTTGAGTTCCATAAGATAACTGGGCTGTGCCTGGCCACATTTTTTCTTCTTTTTCGGTTGCACTATGCTCAGGGTGGCCACTGCTGGGGCAGAATGGGCCCTGGGACGACCCGCGTTATCTAACATTGTTTTATGGCCGTCCATGTTGATGATCGTGTCCTTCAGCTTGTAACGCTCATGTCCTAGTGCCATGGTGATGCTATGTGCTCCTCTGACGTCTGCTCTAACTTAGCCAATTTTTGACAGCTACATGGAGACTGCTCCTCAACTGAAAAACAGAATGTTTAGAAAACATTACTTATAATTGAAAAGTTCTATATTTTGGTAAATGAGAGGTATAGAAATAAACCCTAGCCTTATTCATACTGACATGCAAGCATGACTGCACATGCAGACATTTTCCTATATAAGCAGAGGTATATATACATGTAAAACAACATGCACATGCATACTGAATCCACTGTAAAACATGCATGCACACACACTCATGCAAGTAGCTCCAGTGCTCTCCACAATTCAGTAAGCCTTTCCTGTATTAATCCCCCCCCCCCCACCAGATGTAAATTTTCAAGAAAAAACTAATTACTGTTCACACACACCTGTTCATCTTACCCTGTAGAAGAGTTGGTGAAACTGCTGTAAAGACAAGGTTGTCTCACTTTTAAACAGACAGGCATCAGTCACAAGAAAATAAACACATATGGAATTTGACAATTTCTCAGAATTCATACAGGGAATCACTAAAAAAATCAATAGGAAAACGGAGCATGAATGCCCTTGACTATCTGATATGCACACAAGGAATCAACTTAGCATTATCTATTATTTCTATTCTTTTATTTCCTATAACTGAGCCCCTGGTATTCTTGTTGGCCCTTTTCAGGACCACTCATCCCTTGAGCTAATCAAGAAAGTTAACAAACTGGGACTAATGTCACTTGCTGTTTACATGGTCTATTATTGTAGCAGCTTGTCTTTTTTAAGTGAAAACTCCATTACTGATCAGTTCCAACATATCTGAGCAAGTGCCTGATGTATTTTCTCCACAGAGCTAAATTTTGGCTGTTTTGCTACTTATCTGCTATTCAGCAATTCCAAGCAAGATACCACACATCTAAAAATAATTTTGAAGGAAAAAAAAAATATGATATATATAATATATATATATAATAAAAGCTCGTTGATAAACATTACAGATAAAAACACAATCAATGCTCTTCAACACCATAAAACTTTAAAAACATCAAAAATGCATCACGTACACTATCTACATCATCATCCGTCATAACCTGTCTCAGAATTCTGGAAACAATCTACATAATACAAAGATGGTCTTCAATGTAATCTCTGACCTTTCTAACCAGTCCCAAATGGAAAGAGAGAGAGGAGTGGGCATTTCAAGCAGGGATCAGATCTTGTCCCAAAGGATATTGTCGAGAAAACAGAGACCTGGTTAGGATACATACACTGATTCAGACTAATTCTCGTGGGTTCAAACTTACTCCGTGTTCACTGGTGATACCTTCATACATGCACACTTTACATATGTGTACTGTATTCACAAACACGTTTGTTCACATGTTCACAAGCACACGTTCATGCACACATTCACACACACAGCTTCACATTTAAATCTCATATCCATGTGTTTGCCAACTTACATACTCTCCATGCACGTGTTCACATACCCATGTATTTGCACATACGTTCACATGCACATTACTAATACGCATGCATCCTTACACATACTTCCATACTCTTGACACAAGTTTACACAGACGCACACTGTCGTTTTAGATCAAGGAGTTGACACTGTTTCACATGTAACACATAAACTTCACATTCTACTTTGGGTCCTCTATTATCAGTAACAGCAGCTGGGCTGTACGTGCAGAATTCTTGAAAACAATGTCAGTCAAATTCACTTGAAATTAAGTTGAACAAAATGCATACATATGTGCAGTGAGAGAGAGAGAGAGAGAGAAAGGGATGGAAAGAGACCCTGGATAAAGTCAAGCATCTTTTCACTTATTGACGGGTTTTTTTTATTATTAATAGCCATAATCAAACCAACACAAAGAGACTTCCTCAACCAATGTAAAGACAGTAATAAATTAATAAAAAATATTAATAAAAACCACAACTTTTGGTGAATTGCGTTTCAAATTAAACGATAGACAATCAATAGACATACTCTTTAATCTAGAATTTATTACATTTTCAAAAGCTTAGCTTTCAAAACCTATTATCACTTTCATCTCAATTCTCTTCATTACTTTTTCTACATAAATCAATACTAGAAGAGAATGGCCTGTCATTTCTCTCATCACTGAGCCCGCGTGAAGGTTTTTTTTCTTCAGTGTGACAACATCCAGTTACTTTGGCTAAAAGTATAACTGTACTCTTATTCATTTTTGCAACTTAATACCTATTTGATAAGACTAACAAAATTAGCTGTTGGCATAAAACAATGTTTATGCAGTGCCGGGAAGAAAAATTTCAAAGCCATCAAAAGAGGAAAACATCTTAGAATCTTCACCCCCTCCCCGCCACACACACACACACACACACGCACATGCATACACATACACACAGATACACACACACACACACACATGCACACACATACACACACATGCACACACACATGCATACACATACATACAGATACACACACACGCATAGATGCACACACGCATACAGAGCACATATACAGATACAAACAAACACACACACACACACACACACACATACACCACACACAGTTAGAGCAAATCAAAGAGGAGCGCAACTCCTGTCCCATATTCTGTGTTCAAGTGTCTTCTATTCGACCACATGTGTTACCAAGGAAACAGATGACCTTTCTCACCTTAATGTCACACTAAGTTTGAAACTGAAAAAAAAAAGTTGATAAAATTCCCACGAAGCATAAAAAATGAGCAGATCTATCCACTATGGTTTCATTTCTTATTAAATGTTTATGCTATAAAGGTAGATACCACATTCTGTTAGACAAAGTATGCAACGCTGGTGGTAAAAGCTCAGATCCCAGAATGTCTCTACTGGGAGTGCACAGATGCCAGTGAAAACATGTACAAAAGTATAAAAGTTACTAAATAGATATATACACACCTGTGCCACCTAATATCCATTTTTAAGACTGAATGTTGTTTTTAGAAATCAATATGCTCTCATCTTGAAACCTTGGTCATTCTGCCACCAAAATTGGAAATTCCAGAAAAAGTTCACAATTATACAATACCTGCCAACAGCATACATGCAGTGCTCCCAGATGGACCCTGTGAGGCCGGTTGGACGATGATGTAGTTTTTGTGGAAATAAAAACTTCATTGGTCACAGAACAAAAAGTACACAGTATGTGAAAAGCCAGATAAATATCTGTAAATATCCTGTGAAAACATCCCTCTCTGGTCGGGGTAGATGGTTTCTACTAGTTACAAACCAGAAAATTCTTCTGGCATCTGTTCTTGTAAAACCTCAAGAATAATGAAACCTACTTGGCAAAATAGTCTGCCTCACTATCATCACACATAAAAAAAATCAACAAGAGTGCTTGCCACCAATTTTACATACACAAATAAACCAGTATTGCTTATTGCACGATGTATATACTGAGAGCAAAGGGCATATTTTCTTTACACCGTTCAAAGTAAATGTCACCACAACTGTGTCCACAATACGAAAAACTGACTTGAATCACAGAGCATGGAAAATATTTAAAAGCAGTTTTCCAGAATCATAAAATAAAGATAGGGACTTCTCTGCCCAGTAACTGAGCAAGAGTAAAATATTTACTATGAACGTAACCCAGTATTTTTACAATGTATCATAAGCCAGTACCCAAACTATATCAAGTGCAGCAGTATTCTTATGCATACCACACAAGAGATTCATAGTTATTAAGGATACGTTTTTCCAGGAAGAATGCAGAACCATAACAGTACATCAACTTATGGTTAATTAATATACAGAGTTGGAAACCATGTAATTTACCACACTGCCATTAAAACCAAAGAAGCACCTCTAATGATGATTGGTTGTAGTTGTAGAGTTCCTAGAATTTCTGGCCATTCCTAGAAACACTTCAGAAAGAATTATTTTATCATGCATCCAAAGACATTGCCTTCTTTTATGATTCTAAAACAAGGATAATTCAATTCTAAATAGTGAATTGCATGAAAACAAGTTCAAATATTCCGCTGTATTTTTGAATTTGTCTAGAAGTGATACTTCTATAGATGATAAAATTTGCACAATAGCTGATGTTTTAAATATCAGAATTATTACAACATGCAGTTCAGGACAATGGGATCATTAGTGGTATTCCATTATGGATAACGAGATCGTCTGCTCACAGTAATTTTACGTTATTGGTCACATTTGTATACTTTGACCTCACTAAGGACAATGGCACATTAGGCTGTCTAGCTGACTTATATTCTGTAAAAGAGATGGCTCACTTCATATTTTCTATATTTTTTTTCATTTTCACAGAACTGTTGAACAACTTGAGGAAAGTCAAATAAGATTGCCATGTAGTGTGAGGGCTGACAAGTAAAATGTTGCACAACTGATGATTTAAGACGCAACCTGATTGGCCAAAAAGAGGAACAGTTACCAAACTGATGATTTAAGATGCAATCTGATTGGCCAAAAAGAGTAACAGTTACCAAATTGATGACTTAAGACACTATCTATTGGCCAAAAAGAGGAACAGTTGATGAGTGGCCTGAAGTGATAGATTTTTTAAACAAATTATTATTTAAAAAAATTGCATACATCTTTGTTAAGTGTTTCTAGTTAGATCTATCATATTTTTAAACAGGCATAAAACAAAAACATAAAGCCCCAAATCACACAAGGGGTCTCACTTAATATACCCCATGACTATGCAAAATCAACCACAAAAAACTGCAGATGACTCTAGGTGTCCACAATCAACATACACAGGATAAAGGATGTAAAGGTCAAACGTGTAGAAAATGAAAACAATATATTCTTTTCATATTACGCAACTGTGTTGGTTTTTGATATAAGTAAGTTTGATAAAACTGACAAAGATATGCCAGAGAGAGAAAGAGAGAGAGAGTCTATTTTATAAGAGTTACATCATCAAATTAATAAGTAAACCAGTTCATAGAAATACCATCTGCCTTGTCCTGACATAAATCTGAGCTCATGTTAGTATGTGTTGTCACTTTGCCAAAGGCTGAAAATAATGTTTCCTCTAAAAAAAAAAATGAAAAA